AATGGAATCTCTTCTTGCAAGTACGACATATCATTTTAGGTAGTGAATAATTAGATCCATGAATGATACTGAAGCATATCATGCAGTCATCCAAACCAGCAAAATGTTTATCAAGAGTACTCTTCCATAATAATAATCCTTCCAATATAAAACCATTCTAATGAAGGAGAGAGAATGAGATACGTAATATGTATCTACAAGGCTATCGTGGGTTGGACTATATTGATATTCATTGAGGCTTGTAACACGTTGTTGGAATGAATTACATGTGGCTCATAGCATATACATGTATGCATAGAAAATGTTATAAAAATTGGGAGTGACTTATTTGAAAAACCATGGGTATAGGGATTTTTTCAGAATATGAACAGCTTGCTTATAACTTGAAAAATTTAAGTTGAAATCAGCTCAAACTTGCTACACAGCATAAGTACATCAATATGTATCAAAAAATGTAATAAAAATTGATAATGATTTTTGAGTCATTTTTGGAAAAAACTATGGGCTATAGTACAGAGACTTTTTCTGATTTTGGCCAATTTTTTAAAATGGCCATAACTAGAAAAATTTTGCTTACCTAATTGTAGGAATTTCAATTTTTTATGAATCTCCTTATCATTAGTACACAATGCCCCCATCAACACATCACAGTGACCTAGGGATCAAATTTGAAACCAACTATCAGTCAAAATTGAGTGGGTTACCATTCAAATATTCAGTCATTGAATGAAGGACCAAGTCAGCCCCCAATGACAAAGGATGCTATTTTAAAAATTAATAAAATAAAAATGAATTTAATTACCTGAAAATACAGAGTCAGGAATGTATTATCAACCACGACAGTACATCCCTAAAAGGGGCAGAGTCAATTTTATCTAATTAAATTGTGTGGGCGGTACCTTCTTGTGTGCAATCTCAAAAACAGCTGCAGTCTCAATGACAGTCAGTGTAGCATTAGTGGGAGACTCCATCCATACCAGCTATAGAAATAATGTTAATATTTTATTATATTGAGTTCTAGTTAGCTCAATCAAGGTGTATGGAATAATTATGAACACGTACATGCAAGTTTCAGCTCCTGTTTATGGGAGTTTCACTAAAAAGGTAGTTAGAAATAAAAATACATTTCCTTGTTATTGCTTTACTCTAAAGTCTATTGCTATCACAATAGTATTACTATTCACACTCTACACTATCAATTATATCATATCTGTACTTGCACTTGTCACTACTGAGCTAGGTCAGTGCCTGCATGTACACTGCTAATTCCTAGTAACTACTGTGTTGAATAGTGACAAACAATATGATATTGCTCTATTAAACAATTAATTATAGGTGGTCATTGGAGTTGGACTTATGTACATGTAATTGGTCAGTATTGATGTTAATATTGGATATCCAACTTGCATTATAGTACATGTATGGAAGTAATCTCACATAGCCAGACACAAAAAATTTGAGCCAGAATCAACTCAAACTTTCTACATAGCCATCCCTTTTTCTACCATCCAATTGTCCAGAAGGGAGATGGGTTTGACTATGCAAGACTAGAGTGTTTGTTAATAAAGGCAGTGAAGAGTAGGTGAATATAAAATAATGTGTAACATGTTCTTAAAATGACACATTTTTGATGTCGGAAATTATAACACATAAGAAATACGTTACTTTAGCACACAAGTGTGTTATCTAAACACAGGAAAGTGTGTCATAAAGTGAATATAGTACATGTCATATATTAAATCTACACATATGGTATAATCTGGGACAAAACTTCAAATACTTCATTTTTTCTGTGATATTAACTAAGAGGTCAATACCAATGAATGACTTGTCTATCATACACGACATTGGTTGATGATAGTAGTAGCGCTATTTTAATAAACATGTTATTGCAAAGTTTATATAAAGGTTAATTCTTTCAATAGCAGTTGTTTTTACAGTATTTCCTTAATTGAAACGGACCTCTTCCAAACAAGCCACTTATCACCATTATTGCTAGAGATGTATTAATGTGCTTGTGTAAATGAGAAATAGGGAAGAATTAAAAGTACAGCCTTGCATTGAACTATACATGTGACATTATTTGACATATATATCTCTCCAACATGTGTGAATACATAAGATAATTAATTTTGATTGTCATGTGACATAATTATGAGCTACAGTACAATTAAAATACAGTATTAGATGAGGAATTAAGAGAAAAACATCATAGTACTCTACCATTTTGTTTCACTCTGAGATTGCCGTGGGCTGCTAAATGAACATATTCCATGAAATATGATCTAGCTCCTATCAAAACCACTGCAGATATGCATCTCTGTAGTAGACTAGCAATAATAGTGATAAGCTAGCTCTTATTTGGAAGAAGTCCCTTTCAAGGAAATGCTGTAAAAGCAACTGCTACTTTGCAATAACATGTTTATTAAAATAGCATACTGGTATCATCATGCAACTCAGACAACTTATTTTCTCCATTCATAAATAAAAAGGTGTTCACTTAATAAGCAAGGAATTAAAGGGGCAGAGTCAATTTAAATTAATCTAATTAAATTGTGTGCCAATGTGTGGGTGGTACCTTCTTGTGTGCAATCTTAGAAACAGCTGCAATGTCAATGACAGTCAGTGTAGGATTGGTGGGAGACTCCATCCATACCAGCTGTAGAATAATGTTAATATTTTATTATATTGAGTTTTCATTAGCCTATATGGAAATATTTATGAACATGTACATGCAAGTTTCAGCTCTGTTTATGGGAGTCCTACTAAGAGGTAATTTGAGATAAAAATACATTTCTTTGTTTTTGCTTTACTCTATAGTCTATTGTTCAGTCTATTCCTATCACAACAGCATCACTACTCACACTCTACACAATCTACTTTTATCATATCTGTACTTGCACTTGTCACTACTGAGCTAGGTCAGTGCCTGCATGTACACTGCTAATTCCTAGTAACTACTGTGTTGAATAGTGACAAACAATATGATATTGCTCTATTAAACAATTAATTATAGGTGCTTATTGGACTAATGAACATGCAGTTGGTAATGATGTTAATATTGGATATCCAGCTTGCATTATAAGTACATGCATGGAAGTCTTTGTAATCTCACATAGCCAGACCCAAAAAATTTGAGCCAGAATCAATTCAAACTTTCTACATAGCCATCCCTCTTTCTACTATCCAATTGTCAAGAAGGGAGATGGGTTTGACTATACAAGACTAGAGTGTTTGTTAATAAAGGCAGTGAAGAGTAGGTGAATATAGAATAATGTGTAGCATGTTCTTAAAATGACACATTTTTGATGTCCAAAATTTTAAAACACAAGAAATATTTTATTTTAGCACACAAGTGTGTTATTTGAACACAGGAAAGTGTGTTATAAAGTGAATATAACACATGTAATATGTTAAAACTACACATGTGCTACAATCTGGGACAAAACTTCAAACACTTCATTTTTTCTGTGATATCAGCTAAGAAGTTCAGTACCAATGAATGACTTGTCCATCATACATGACATTGGTTGATGATAGTAGTAGCGTTATTTTTGATAAACATGTTATTGTAAAGTTTATATAAAGGTTAACTCTTTCAATAGCAGTTGTTTTCACAGTATTTCCTTAATTGAAACGGACCTCTTCCAAACAAGCCACTTATCACCATTATTGCTAGAGATGTATTAATGTGCTTGTGTAAATGAGAAATAGGGAAGAATTAAAAGTACAGCCTTGCATTGAACTACATGTGACATTATTTGACATATATATCTCTCCAACATGTGTGAATGCATATAAAATAATTAATTTTGATTGTCATGAGATATAATTATGTGACTGAGCTACTGCACAACTAAAATACTGTATTAGTGGGGAATTAATAAAAAGCATACTATTTTGCTTCACTCTGCATGAGATTGGCTGCTAAATTATCAACAGTATTCCATGCATATATAATATAATCTAACTCTTATCAAAGCCACTGGAGATATGCATCTCTATAGTAGCAATAATAGAGATAAGTGTTTATTTGGAAGAAGTCCCTTTAAAGGAAATGCTGTAAAAACAACTGTACTTTGCAATATGTTTATTAAAATAGCATACCGGTATCATCATGCAACTTAGACAAATTAATTATTTTCTCCATTCATAAATAAAAAGGTGTTAAACTTAAGGGCCATTCATTCACTTGATGATTTGCTGAAGCATGGAATTAAAGGGGTGGAGTCAATTTAAATTCACAATAGTAGCACTATTCACACTCCACACTATCAATTATATCATATCTGTACTTTTACTTGTAGTAGTGCTATGATCAGTGCTACTGTACACTGCAGATTCCTAGTAACCACTCTGACAAACAATATGGTATTGATATTAAACAATTAAATATAGGTAATGTAATGTACTTATTGAAGTGCAATTGATAATGATGCTAATATTGGATAATAATCCTCTCTAAATTAACTCGTTCTCCTTCTATCCTCTCTCTCTCTCTCTCTCTCTCTCTCTCCTCTCTCTCTCTCTCTCTCCCTCCCTCCCTCCCTCCCTCCCTCCCTCCCTCGCTCCCTCCCTCCAGGGGCGTATCTAGGAATTGGAGAAGGGGGGCGTTACTAGAATGCGGATCAGTGCGGATTGCTGCGGATCGTTCAGCACGCTGAACCAAGCACGTGAACGCGCGGAACGTGCACGGGCTTGTGCCTAGAATGCGGATCAACTCCCAAGAATTCAGAATATACACCATAACTTCCCGCGGATCAGTTCTCTTGTTCTTCTATTCCATTCAATCTTTATTTGTTGCAATCTTTAACTCTTTATAAAGTAAAAATAACTATTTTTAACTCAGTGTAATAATTTTAAACTTTGAATGTACGAGATTTCAGTGATCATATCAAAAGCCTTCAGTCATTGGTCATAGAATAAATTATACTGCATCTAGATCTAGTTGCAATGAAATGAGTTACAATCTGCATTGAAAGCAAACATATAGTTGTAAAATTTAAACAATGAAAGTTGCCTCACAAATAACAATTATTTTCATTGTGTAAAAATGATTATTATGATATTACCAAAAATATAAATATTCTATTGGCCAAAAATTGTTACCACCTATCATTTTTACTTGAAAGTATTTCTTTTACGTGATTACAAATACTGCTCTGAT